CAGAGCTCCATCTACTGTACCACCTAGCTGCCCCTTTTTTAAAGATTTCAAAATGTTTTTATAAATGAAATGAGTGTGCTTGAGGAAAAATTGGAAAGAAAATGAGAGCCATGTAAGAAGGAATTGGAAGGGGAATTAACAGCCTGGCACAAGATACATAAAATCTTGCCCAAGCAACAAACTCCCAGAAATTTGAATAGACCAGATAAAAGCCAATGACTCCATGACACAACACGAAATAGTAAAGCAAAGTCTAAAGACTGAAAATACATCAAGAAATGTAAGGTATCCCATAACAAAAACAACTGACCTGGAAAACAAATCAAAGAGAAAAAAATTTAAGAATCATTGAATTCTCAATGCTATGACTAAAAAAAGGACATAGACATCCTATTTTTAGAAATTGTAAAAGAAAATTGCCCAGATTTCTTAGAACCAGAGAGCAAAGTGGAAATAGAACAAGTCACTTCCTGAAAGAAAGGAAAAAAAAAGAACCCAAAATGAAAATTCCCAGTAACATTATAATCAAAATCCAGAGTTTCCAGGTCAAAGAAAAATACTACAAGCATCCAGAAAGGAAGAATTCAAGAACCATACAGGCATGATCACATAAGATTTAGCAGTAACCACTATAAAGGAGCAGAGAACTCAGAATACAATGAAGGCAAAGGATATAGAGACTTACAGAAAAGAATTAACTTACTCAGAAAAACTGATTATAATCGAAAAAAATGACTTTTAATGAATTAGAGGACTTCTAAGCATTCCTAATGAGAAGACAAGGGATGCATAGAAATTTTGAAGTGCAAACTTCAAAAGTTGAGAGACATAAAAAAGTAAACATGAGCAAACAATAAGGGACTAAATAAGGACAAACTACTTCTACCTTAAGTTAGATGGCACAGTGAATAGAGCGCCAGGCCTGGAATCAGGAAGACCTGAGTTCAAATCTGACCTCACACACTAGCTGTGTGACTCCAGGAAAGTCACTTTACCCTGTTGGCCTCAACTTCCTCATCTGTAAAATGAGCTGGGGAAGGAAATGGCAAACCACTCCAGTATCTTTGCTATGAAAACCCCAAAAGGGTTATGAAGAGTCAGACATGACTGAAAAATGACTAAACAAGATATATACCCTCTGAACCTTACCATCATCATTATCAGCATCATGGATAGAGGAAATCTAATTAGTCAGATGGCCTAAGAGTGATTCTGTCCTAAAGGGGGAAAGGAAAAGGAAGGGGAAACATTCTCATCAAATCAGTACGTGCAAGTAAAAGTCTATGCAAACAAGAAGGAAGGAGTGTAGAGAGGAGGTGACACAAGCTTCATCCTCATCTGAACTGGTCAGAAGAGGGAATGCACACACACAGCCAGGCACAAAAATCAGTTTCCTTCAATGGGGAAACACAGAAAGAGGAGAAGGGAGAGGTGAGGAATAAGAGAAAGGGGAGATTAAGGGAGATTAATCCTAAAAAAAGAAAAAAATTCTGAGGATGTACAAAAAATAATGACAGCAGCTCCTTCTGTGGTGACAAAGAATTGGAAACTGATGGGAGTGACCATCAATTGGGGAATGGTGTAACAAATTATGGTATATGAATGCAATTATGCTGTAATTGTATTGCAATACTCTGTTCCCACTTGTGCATTTGTGTCTGTCTTATCCAATGCTGTAGTATTGTATGGATGTGTCTTCATAACATGAAGGAATTGTCTTAAGAGGGAGACTTGCAGAAGCGAGCAGAACAAGGAGAAAAATTTATATAATTACAAAAGGGTAAAGACAAACTTTGAAAGACATAGCAATTCTGATCATGAGCAAACATTATTTTAGGGGACACATGATGGATACAAAGTGCAGATGGAGACATTTTTTGGAGATGATCAATGCAAAAATTTGATTTTGATTGCCTATACATGTATATAACAAAGGTTTTGTTTTTCTTTTCTCAGTGGTAGGAGAGAGGGGAGGTAGCAGGGAGAGAAGGAAGATTTTCATTAATTGAAAAAAATAAAATTTAATTCTAAAAAAGAGCAAATCATTTAATCTGCCAGTGCCCCTAATCAATTCTCTAAGGCAAAGGTTCTTAACCTGAGGTAGATGGATTCAAGGGGAAGGGAGATCTGTCAATTTGGATGGAAAAAAATGACATCTTTATTTTCACTAACTTCTAACTGAAATTTAGCATAGGAATAAATATTATTCTGAGAAGGGGTCCATAGGCTTCACCAGACTGCCAAAGCAGTCTATTACAAAAAAGTTAAGAACCCCTCATCTAAGGCTAAAAGTAATAGAAAATTTGGTGATCTATATTGCTGGAGGGACTTTCTACATCAGCAGTTTCTCACACTTATGAAATCACAGGTCTGAACAAAAAGTTAAATACCCCTCAGATAGCATGAAGACATACAGAAATTGATAACTCTAGAACTGGGGGAATAGCATGATGTAGCAGATAAAATGAATGATAGAGATATCTCTGTATTCTGCAATATGAAATCTTTTTTTTTTTTTTGGTTGGGCAATGGGGGTTAAGTGACTTGCCCAGAGTCACACAGCTAGTAAGTGTTATGTGTCTGAGGCTGTATTTGAACTCAGGTCCTCCTGAATCCAGGGCTGGTGCTCTATCCACTGTACCACCTAGCTGCCCCCTGCAATATGAAATCTTTATGTGTGTGTTAAACAGGGTTTTTTTGGAGGGTGGGATATTCTCTCTCTCTCTCTGTCTCTCTCTCTCTCTCTCTCTCCCTCTCTCTCTCCCTCTCTCCCCCCTCCCCCTCCCTCTCTCCCCCTCTCCCCCTCTCCTCCTCTCCCTTTCTCCCTCTCTCCCCCTCTCCTTCTCTCCTTCCCTCCTCTCCTTCTTATTTTAGGAAGGGTGATTTTACGTTAATGATTTCTCTTTCTCTTTCTTTTTTGCCCTCTCTGGCTTGGTAATGAGACCAGAGAGCAGCTAAGTGACTGTTGCTCTCATTGAGAGGCAGCATGATGTGTGTGGATAAAGGACTGGACTTGAAGTCTGGAAGACTAGAGTTCAGCTAATGCTTCCTCCACTTAATACCAATGTGGACCTGGGTGAGTCACTTAACTTGTCTCAGCCTCAATTTCTCCATCTGTAAAATGGAGATTATAGTATTTTTAGCACTTAATTCACAGGGTCGTTTGAGGCCCAAATGGGATAATGTATATATAGCATTTTTCAAATCTCAAAGTGTCATATCAATAGCAGTTTTTATTATTATTATTAAGGATGTCCCATATTATTCCAGGTTTTAATGCAATCATTTCAATGTCATTTGCAAATGGCAGGGTTTGAGAGATATTACCATCTGTATGACTACTTTGGACTTTTCATGGGGCATTCCCCATGACACTGGTTTATATCCTTGAGGAGCATTCACTTTCTTGTTTAATTATTTGCTAGAAGGAAGAGAATCACTAAACAAAGTTTTCTATAGCTGCACCTGTCAGCTGAATTTCATAGGATCTTAATATGTAAATGAGAGCTAAGTGCCTCAGCTCCATTTTACAGAGACTCAAAAGGGTTAAGTGACTGACCCAATATGACACACTTGTATGTAGCAAAGTCCAGAAATGAACTCTAGAAAAGAACTGCTAATCTGGATTACTATCAAAATTGGCTTCTAGGGTCTTAGACCTAAAATTCCAGACCCTGATTTTGAGGGATATGGCCCTACAAAATTTCTAACAGTTCCTCTAATAATCCTTTACTTTTCACCTGGATTATTGTAATAGCCTCTTAATACATCTCCTTGCCTCAGGCTTCTACCCTCTCTAATTTATCCTCTATAAGTCTGCCAAAGTGTTTTTCCTAAGGCCTAGATCTAACTATGACACTCCCCTACTCAATAAACTCCCATGGCTTCCTATTACCTTTAGAGTCAACTAGTAACTCCTCTGTTTGGCACTTAAAACTCTTTACAGTCTGACCCCAGTCTACCTCAACAGCCTCGTTACAAATTGTCCATATCCATGTACTCTTCACCCTAGCCAAACCGGTCTTCTTGTAGTTTGTCATGTGTGACGTTAGCTCTTGGTTTCATGCTTTTGTAAAGGCTGTCTTCCAAGCCTACAATGCACTTCCTTCTCATCTTACCTACCCTACTTTTCTTCAATGCTCAGCCTAAGTGCAACTTCTACATAAGGCCTTTTGCAATCCCCCACCTACTACAGCCTACCTTCCCAAATTACTCTTGTGTTTATTTATTTGTTTTGTATATGTTTATATACATATATATTCCTATCCACCTCATAGCATGTAACTGTTTCATCTTTGTTTCTGTATCATCAGTGCCTAGAACAATGCTTGGCACAGAGTAGGTATTTAATAAATGTCTGTTGATTGATTGGTGGGGTTCCCACTGATTTATGGGTGTCTATAGGGGTCAAAAGATTGTCAAAGCACGTCAGGTTATGGAAGTTGTAGCCACTGATGAGAACTGGGTACAGACTAGAGTGACTAGACTATTTCTAATTTTAGAGTATTTCTAATTATGTATTAATTATTTAATTAAATCATTTAATCATAATGAATATATTATGTCATAACTATTATATATTATAACACAATATATAATTATATAATATATTATATATAATATTTTTAGAATTATCCCTGATTGTATATAATACATGTGTATATTATACATATAATATGTATATGTGTATAATATAATAACATATAATATAGTATAAAACAAAGTATATAATATTACATATATAATATACTAATAATACATTATATATTATAATTTAATTAATTAATAATTAGAGTATTTCTAATCATGTGGTTCAGGAATATCACTCTCCCAACCCTTTGATCATTATTAGTGAATGAGAGCTACTGAGGAAGGAGCTGCTCCCACTCCTTAAAACAAGGTCTTATAGGGACCAATGAATAGCTGTGAAAGAGATGTTTGAACTCAGACCACCAGCACCTAGGAAACTTTCCCTACCCCTAGGATGGCAATTTACTTACCTGGAACATGTCTCCATTGACTGTTGTCCCTGTGTCTTCAATACCAGCTAAAAAGAGACAGAGAAGACACAATTATGTAATTGAGCACTTTTTGTTCAGAATGGTAAGCTCATATTTTGCCCAGTTATATGCTAATAAATCTGACAATCCAAGCAAAATGGGTGAATATTTACAAAAATGTAAAATGCCCAGATTAACAGAAGAGGAAACAGAATACTTAAATAATTCCATCTTAGAAAGAGAAATTGAACAAGACATCAATGAACTCCCTGAGAAAAAATCCCTAGGGCCAGATGGATTCACAAGTGAATTCTACCAAACATTTAAAGAACAATTAATTCCAATACCATATAAAGGATTTGGAAAAATAGACAAAAAAGGAGTCCCATCAAATTCCTTTTACAACACAAATATGGCATTGATACCTAAACCAGGAAGAGCAAAAACAGAGAAAGAAAACTATTTTCTTTAATGAATATTGATGCAGAATGGTAAGCTCAGCCTGTTCTAGCATTTTATAGGGCAGTGGTTGCCAAACTGTGAGCCAAAGACTACTGAGAGCTATGGAGTTGCAGTAAGGAATTCATGAATTCGTATGCATACCAAATGTTATTTTGATCTTTATTTAGCTCCAACAAAATATGAGGTATGACAGCGTAATAAATAAGGAAATGAACCTTCTATAGACAATAAACATCAGGTTAGACTCACCACTCTGACACTTAATAGCTACGTGTGACTATGGGCAAGTCTCTTAATATCTATGAGAATAAGTTTCCCCATCTTATAGATGGGGACAATAATAGTTGTATGACCTGCCACCTAACAGTCCCTTTAATCAATCAATCAATCAATCAAGAAACAGATGTTAAGCACCTACTGTGCGAAGAGCAGTGAGGGACATACAAAGTTAGACAAGGCATGTTTCCTGTACTCCCAATATAATGGAATCTTTGAAGGCAGGGACATTTAATGTTTTTGGTCATTGTATCCAGAGATGTGCTGAAACCAACTCAATTTTCAATATGAACATTTATACCTTGGAAATCAGTAAAGGCTACAAATCAGGGCTTGATTTATTTATTTTTTAATTATTGTCTGGACTTAAGAAAGTGATGGAGAAAATGTTACCAATGCAGATTAAATTTAAAAGTGTATCATGAATACATATATATATATATCTTTTCTTCAGAGAGCTGTTTGTTAAACATCTACCAGCAGGCCCCAATTGTATCCCTAGTGCCTAACAGGCAGTTTGTCATGATAGATGCCTGACCTTGTTAGAAAGACCTTAATTCAAATCCTGCCTTGGATACATACTAGCTGTGTGTTGCTAAGCAAGACATTTAATCTCTAAATACCCCAGGCAGATCTCTGAGACGCAAATTACAGAAAAGTCATTGTAGAGTTGCATTAGTAGAGCTTGTTTTTATACTAGGAATTCCATATACCAGTGAAATCACAGATTTTGACCCTTTCTTCCCTCCAGGACCTAGTACAATTTCTAACCATACATCCCATTAATTTTTGAAATTGAAGGAGTTTATAATCTAATAGGGAGGTAAGACTTCAAAAGAGACACAGTATTGAATAAATTTATGAATGAATGATAAGGATTTACTAAGAGCTTACTATGAAAAAACAAAACCAGGTAGCTAGTTGGTGCAAGTAGATAGAACAGCAGCCCTGGAGTCATGAGGACCTGAGTTCAAATCTGGCCTCAGACACTAGCTGTGTTACCCTGGGCCAGTCACTTAACCCCAATTGCCTTTAAAAAAAAATAAGAGCTTACTATGGGCTAAGCACTTACAAAGAGAAAAAAAAACAAACCCAAATACAAACAAATGAGACAATCCCTTCTCTCAAGGAGCTCACATTCTAATTGCAGGATCCAGTGAAGAGATATGAAAAGGCTCAGTGATCCTAAGGATTCAACTATAGAGTGGATGGCAAAGCTAGGGGTGCTTAGCGTAGATCAGCAGATCAAATGGCAGTGCCTGGTGGTCTGGAGAGTGTAACATCAGGGCACATAGTAAGGTCCACCATCTTACAGGAAGGCTTTTAGTTGGTGACTTCCTACTCAACCAACGAGTCTGAATGGCATGTCTGTCAGGCAAGGTGCAGGGTGGCTTGGAGGCTCCTGACCCACCACCATTATGAATAGTAGCAAGTAGTTGTTATTATGATTGGGATGATGAATGATAACAGAGGACCAGCTTTGTGGAGCAGCAGTCAGCTTTGTTCCCAAGCAATGAATTTAATCACCAATGTCAAGACACTTACTAGCTGTGTGATTCTAGGCACGTCACTTAACCCTGTTTGCCTCAGTTTCCTCATATGCAAAATGAGTTGGAGAAGGAAATGGTAAACTACTCCAATATCTGTGCAAGAACATGTCAAATGGGGTCACAAGGTGTCAGCCACAACTAGAACAACTAAACAAGTCAAGAGAAAGAATTCAGATTCTCCCAGCAAAATATGCATACTGATACACAGGCCTATTCGGAGTGTGGGTTGCATGTGCTGGCATTCATACACACTCTGCCTGATGGTCAGTATGGGGATCAATCCTGCTCTGATTGCCCTGAGTAATCAGTCAAAAGGGGTGGGAAGAGGCAAGTAGTTTCAAAATACTCTAGTCCAGGATCCATGTATGTTTACCGATTAAGTTTGTTCATTACTTCAGGAAAGTAGGCTGAGTCACGACTGAGCAAACTGATACTGATTGTCATACCTGAGCATATGGTCTTAGGGAGTGACGTGGGAGGGGCAGCATTCCTGGGATTCTGGCAGAGGCAAACAGGCAATTAGCAAGGGAGTGGGGTAGGATGGGGGCATCAAGAAATATGGATGTAGGCAGAAGGGTAATCAAATGAACTCTTTCAGTAAGCATTAAGCTATGTTTGTCTTCCTGCTGGAGGCACCCACCCATTGAGTTATAAACTCAAGCCTCTCTTTCAGGAGGCTGACGAATGACTTTCAATGCTTGACTTTAATTAAAGAAAGTGAAGAGTTCTCAGGCAGGATGGAAGAATCTATGAAAACCAGGACCAAGAAGCTAACAAGCCAAATACACATACATACATACATACATACATACATACATACATACATACATACACACACACACACACACACATATGGGCAAGTAGGTGGCACAGTGGATAGAGTGCTGGACCTGGAGTCAGGAAGACTCATCTTCCTGAGTTCAAATCCAGTCTCAGACACTTACTAGCTGTGTGACCCTGGGCAAGTCACTTTTACCTCATTGGCCTCAGTTTGGCCTCATCTGGAAAACGAGGTGGAGAAGGAAATAGCAAACCACTCCAGTGTTTTTGCCAAGAAAACCCCAAATAGGGTCATGAAGAGTAAGACATGACTGAAAATGATTGGACAAACATATATCTATCTATCTATCTATCTATATATACATGTATAGACATAAATGTGTATGCATATTTTGTGTTGTTCAGTCATTTTATATATGTCCATGTCTGTATATATGCATGTGTGCATGTGTGTTTATATGCAATCTGAAAATGTGCAAGAAACTCTGAGTTATCAGAGTAACAGAACAAGTATGAGGTTTTCTTCTACAGAGTTTCCTGAAGAAGAATCAGTCAGTACTCCCTGCTTCGTAGATGTTCCCAAGTAGAACTAAACCTGAAGTCAGTTCCGGGAGGAAGAGATAGAAGAGGTGGTCACCGACCCCCTGCTGAGAGACACGAAGGCATCCATGGAATCTTTACACGGCCAGTTAGGAAGTTTACTGTTTCGCCAGAGTGTTTTCCAAGGTATAACAAATCTACAACCATTTTCCAATTTAATAATCATTCCAATTGACAGAAAAGGTCACTTTCTCCTCAGGGCTCTATCACTACCACTTCACTTAGGAACTCTTTCTTGTTCATCAGTCTGGTATCCTGGGGATGCCACACACAATAAAAAAGCAAAGTGGATGAAAAATGCATGTTGCCCAGGTCATGTCGTGGGATCAGATGGACAGCCTTTTGAGTTACCCCAACATTGTAGGCATACCTTCACATCCACACACATATATACACCTTCTCTTTTAGAATTTCTTCATGTGGACTTTTGATTATTATGAATGCTAAGAAGCGGGGTGATTGGAATAGTCAGACATGTACCTGTTAGTAAAGCAGACTTCAAAAGGTTCAGGGAAATGAAGGGAAATCATTGCCCATGTGCAGAGTCTGCATGAGAAGGCAGGTCAAGAAGTAAGGGAGACTTTCAAAAACTAAATTCTGACAATACAGGAATTATCTCAACGAGGTATAATAGCCATCCAGGGGCTGCGATTTTAAAATAGTCATATATAAAGGAGTGGAATAATATCATGGAACAGTGTCAGGGAAGTCCAGAATGAACTACTCTACTCTGTATTAATTCATACAAGTCTTTCCAAGTTACCCTGAATTCTTCATAGTCTGACATTTATTTAACTACATGTATAAAATATTTTTACATCCATTGTCTTATTTGATTCCCACAACGACCCAGTGAAGGCAAGCTTGCTAGGTGATGCAGTAGATACAGTGCTGGACCTGGAGTTAGGAGGACGTGAGTTCATATCCAGACACTTACTAGCTAGGTGACCCTGGGCAAGTCACATAACTTCTCTCTGCCTCAGTTTCCTCAACTGTAAAATGGGAATAATAATAACACCTACCTCCCAAGCTTATTGTGAGGTTTACATGAGATAATTGTAAAGTGCTTAGCACAATGCCTGGCACACAGGAAGCTCTTCATAAATGTTGGCTATTATTATTATTATTATTATTGAACTAAGAGATTTGCCTCTGGCAGGGGTGGGGAACCTGCGCCCCAATGTTCTGTGAAGTTTGGATTCAATCAAAGGGTCGAACTTGAGGACCCAGAGGGTCACATGTGGCCTGGAGGCTGCAGGTACCCCTGGCCTATAGTCATATACCTAAGAGAGGCAGAGCCAATATTCAAAACCAGAGGGAACTGAAATTCAAGTTAGGTGAGAAAAGGAGAATACCAGTATATTCTAAATGAGTTCATG